CTTGAAAGTTTGTTCGGTGTTGATGTTTCAGCGGTGGCCTAATCCGTGACTTCTGTCACGCGTCACAAAACGCGTTCTCCCTGGCGTGTACGATGCCGTAAGCTCTTATCGGGCAAGAAAATGGGGTATCCAAGTCGTGCGTGACGGCCCGGCAATCCGCCAAGCACTGGGGCTGTAATGTTTTGGTGTTTCCTGAGGTTCGAACACTAGGAGTCGGCGGCTGACGCGTTGTCGACTGAGGATAGCCACAAGGCAGGCGAGCTTTGCACTGTGGATCTCGAAATGAAGAAGCCGTTTCAAAGAAGATTCCCAGCGCACGTCTCGTGAAGTTGTCGCCGGAACCAGCTTTGCAATGGAATATGAACTCTCCAAAATTCTTCCATTGTGCTGTTAGGGTCGCGATAGTGGTCCATAGTAGCAATGTGGCCTGTAAACGCGTTACCCCACTAACAGGTACTAACAGCACCAAGTGGGGAAAATTGTTCACAGGGGAGAGTTATAGCACTTGAAGTTGAAGTTGAAGTTGAAGTTGAACTTGTATTCATAGACTGTCCCAGCCGCCTTTGTTGGCAGCAGCGTTCTATCTACCTATAGATTTGCGGTCCGCTCTCGATGACAGGGTTTCGGTCTGGTCAACTTCGCTTTGTCGTCGCTTCGGCTGTCCAGGGGCTGAAGATTGTGGCGTGTCAGCGCCCTAACAAACGCAACCTATGAAGTGCCACCCACAATGGTAGGTTGAGAAGAGTAGACCTGGCTGGGGAGAGCGACCGGCCAAACGTAGAAAAAAAATAGAACAAAGCTGATTAGGGCTGTCCACATTGTAGCTGTTCGAAATGGAGAGCAAGCTTGAGCAGTTTGACAGGCGCAAATGGATGTCCACGGGGTGAGGATGTCCTCCCATAGGCACTGTGCCACGGAGGATGGGCTCTGCGGGCCGCTGTCCACGCTGTGTCATCGCAGGGAGAGGGACAGCGCTTAGGCCATAGCCTCCCAAGTGGGACAGCCCTACAGAGAGGACATCCTCGCGCAGGGGGATATCCTCTGTGCGATAGCGCTGCAGGTGGATGTCCACAGAGTGCCATCCTTGCGTGGACATCCACCTGCAGCACCAGCGCCCATCGAGCCCATCATTTTCTGTCAAATTCCTCAAAGCTAGCGCACTGAGGACAGCCTTACCATATCACCACGTATACAAGCACGTCGTGAAAAAGCTGCTGTTCTGCGTAGGAACGCTGTCTAGGTGAAGGGTAGAATTCTATCTTTGGTGCGGAAAAAGCGGCGGACCTAACCAGTTAGGTTGTGACTGCATCGATCACCACGTCACGGGCATGTGTATCATTTTACATATCATCTGTCAGCACAGGGCAGGTAAATGCAGTTGTGGCAGAAATTAATACAACTTTTATAGCAAGCTACCATCAGCAACTTTAGTCAAACATTTCCCAAGCCCTTCAGTGAAAATAACGTGCTGTCTTCAGGAACTTGCCAACCAGTACCGCATCCCTCCTCTTGAACAAGCGCCGCGTCCTCGAAATCATTGTCGGTCAGCGGATACGGCCATGGGGGAATTTCTCCAAGAACGACCGGCGACTCATAGTTGGCAATCCCGGACAGCATGAATAGGTTAGTACAGGGGCTATCTTTACTATCCATCAGATCCTCATATGCTACGCCGGAGATTGGCATGCGGGCCGGTGGCAAGCCCCATGTAAGTAGCGTTGCCAAGAGGACTGATGTATTGTTCAGGACAATGTCTACCGCTGGATGGCACAATCTCATATAGTCAAGGAGGTCACTAATAGACTCACGCCTAACACGTTGCAAACTGGCCGCCTTAATGTCTATATCTGAAAGGCATTCGATGCGCACATACCTTTTCATCGTCACGTTACGTAGCGGGAAGATGAGAACGCCGTAACCGTATCGTTGCACCGCTTGAAAGAGGGGTTCTGCTGTTCGATTAAAATAGTCCCATCTTTTTTGCCGTTGTTGCGAGCCCAGCTCGGGGAACATTTCCCGTTGAAAAGTTTTGATTACGCCACTCCCGTCTCCATTGTGCTCTTCTCTGGTCGCGTTCCGGTATTCGGCCATCAACTGGACCATATAAAATCGTCGCTGGATCACCGTCAAAGTCGGCAAGCTGTAATCTTTTGTGTCCAGTGTATCACAGTGCTGTAATTGCCACTGCAGCCGCTGAACTCTCGATAGAGACTTGTCGAGATTCGCGGCCTCAGGGTCTGGCCATCGCAGGGCGTCCACCACCCGCCAGGCATCCTGGAGGCCATTTACTGAAGTGTACTCAGAAATCTCCCTTCGAAGTGGCTCGAAGATATTAGCAAATCGTTCCTCGATGAAATCGGGGACTAGCGTTTTCTGTTTCCTGCCAGGACCTCGGACTTTGGGTTTTGCCTTGGCAGGAGGCGCTCGCGTCGATGTCTGCCCTCGCTTGCTGGGCGGTGTCGTTGGCAGTGGGGCCGGTGAACGCTTTCTTACAACTCGCCTGTCTATTGTATCATCTCGTGCACGAGGCCGCTTACGTTCGACTACACACTCGGCTTCCCCATCGCTGGCGGGTTTGTCTTTTCCATGAGCAGGCGACGATCGCGTAGTCGGCCGCTCGGTGTTCGGCGTGGGGGTGATTGGGTCGGCTGTTACATCTCGTGCGTCGGAGCCGTGTTCAGAAACAGAGGTTGTTGGTGTGGCTACGAGGCTCAAAGGGATGGGGACGTCGGGCGTGGGCTCGAGTTTCCGGATCAGCTCACCCCAGCAACGACTATCACAAGAAAAAACCTCCGAAACACAGTCAACAAGCTAGCGAGACGAGTAGACGTTATCTTCGCAACCTTTGATACATCAGTAGCTCTGTGTAATTCTTCCCTCAAGAGCTTTGCAATACCCTCAGACATAGGAACTGCGTTGTTAGAGACGGAAAGTCAGCGCGACGGAATTCGGGGGCAGCAGGGCTTTTATGGCCCAGCACGCTGGTGACTTGCCCCACTGCGTGCGTAAGGGCAACTCTCTAATTTTAGTGGCAGTCACCTAACTGGATGGAGGGTTGCACTAGCTCGGAGCACCAGTGTTTCATCTGTCAACATGACTGTTGTTGTGGGGCACTGGTCTCCATATGGTCGGCTGAGACTAAGCCTCTCGTCAATGTGCTCTCCAAAGACGATTTGTCTTTCTTCTGGGAATTAGAAAAGAAAAGAATTGTTGACTACAGTACAGTAGTAACATACATCAGTTTAAGTCAGAAATTCATGCATTCCCGTGGAGAATAACGTATCTCCCATGCGTACTGACGGTTCTTTTGGTGGGAGTTCGCGCGAAGTGATAGTGTCACCATGCAGCCTTACACCCCTCCCCTAATCTTGCAGGAACGATCTCCGATTGGAAAGTGGCTGCATCCAGCTACAAGAGACGACCTGCATATGACTAAACCGTGACCGCAGTGAAGTGGTACAATTTGCACTTAATGGCAAGACACTGTCATGTGCTGTAGCTGTTAAATATGCAGTCGAAGGGAGAACTTTAGCGAGGTGCTGTGCCAACCATGCTCTCTCCTGTTAAGCCCAGTCGAACCGGTCAGCACACTTGCGTCTATCTTACCACTCTGAGCTGGAGGGTGGCATTCAAATGGGTTTTGCAGGTGGATGCCCGCAAGATTGGCCCTGTGTGGGCATCCCCTCTGTTGGCATCCACCACCTGCAGCGCCGCCCCGATAAGGTCGTCAGCGGTGTGGGCTTGAGGGCCAGCGCTGGCTGAGGCGTCACAGCCCTGCACCGGGCTGGCCCTGCGACTGTACATGAAAAAACCATCGTGCAACTAAACGCAGCGCGGAGAGTTCTCTGCTTCACTGATCTGCTTAACAGTTCCAGTTTAGCTCGTGTGTATACGTTGCTAGGAAAGGAATGTACAACGTTAATAGATAACGCGTACAAAACTTCACAAAAAGATCGGACCATTGGCGATGCCCTAACTGGTTAGGTGTCTTGCTGCTATTGGACGGTGTTTCATTTCGGGGCGGCAGGATCTCAACCAAGTAATAGTTGCCAGCACGCTGATGTGCGTCGGCAGGTTATACGTGTTCAAATCCGCAGACGAGGCGTGGTCCTTAGACATTGTAAGTAATTTTTGCGTTCGGGACGGCCTCGTGCAAACCTGACGAAATAAAATAGAAAAGGGCGTTCCCAGTACCCCCGTTCCTAGTACCCCTCCAGCTGACAGTTACGGATATCGCTCGGCAAATTAATATATGTCATCAGATAATGATCACCGTAAAAACAGAATGCGTGGCGTCTGATCGAGGCAGGAGTGATTCGAACTCTCAATCGCCAGAGCTTCGAAGCCGCTGCAGCGCTGGCACCTGCCGGGGCGGCACAGCCTAGTCTCCGTAGCAGAAAACTCTCCCCTGTAAACATTCCCCCCCTTTTGGAGCTGTTAGCAGCTCGTAAGTGGGGGCAATGGCTTATGGGCACTATCACCACACATCTGCCGGTGGGGCCTATCGCCGCCTTAACAGCTCAATGGAAGAACTTTTGGGG